ATCAGTATATATATATATATATATATATATATATATATTTGTATATATCTGCTATCTGTGCTGTCTGCCTTCGTTTTTCTACTTTCACTCCCGTTGTCCATCTCCTGTCCGCTGCCTTTCGACCAGTACATTTATGAGTTGTGCTTAGCTAATAAAGTCATTACTTTAATCATCAAACGCCAACCGCAACCCGCCAACTGCCACCCACCCACCCACCGGCTACAGATACCTCAATCCATGCCCCCATCCTTGCCCCATCCACAGATATTTTCCAGACTTCATTGATAGCAATCAGACGCATTATTTCATTCTAGAAAGCAGTTAATATACGACTAGGTATTAAGAATAGGACATAAGCACCCTACACAATTAGTGGGAGGCATTTAAGTTCTGCTCGAGCAACTTCATCATCAGAACTTTATGGTTATTCTTAGCAAACATGTGAATGAATGAAGAATCGACATAAACTTAATATTCAACATGCAAATTGAACATAAGCCATTTAAATTATGATTTTAATATTGTCCGATTTGTTTATTCTCTTATAAGTTAGCCATATTGATGAAATTGGAATACTCAATTTTTGTGGAATAAAACATTAATAAAATATAACAGTTTGGTATTTGGCAATAAGTTTCAGCTATACACAACTTTAAAATGTTTAGTATTCTCTTATATATCTATATATATATATATATATCTTTCTCTCTCACTCACTCAACCGCTATCTGTCTCTTTCTGTCTCCATATTAGTTGGTAGCGTTTTTACTTATGTGTTTCGATTTGCAGCGTCGCGTTGCGGTCTATTAGGCCCCATTTGAAATCACTTTCTCCCTCCGCCTGCCTCTCCTAGTCGCACCTCCCTCCCCCCTAAATGCTCCAAACTTTGGCATATCGCAACGCGCTCCAAATTCCAATTGGAAATATCAAATAATATCCAAATTGACAAATCAATCGGGGGCAAATAATGTCATTATATGTCGGTCGGTGAATATGAATGTTGATATGAGTGTGAGTGTGAGTGTGACTATGAGTATGGGTATTTGTTATTGTAATTATTATTGTGGCATGTTCTGTCGTTTAGTTGTTTATTTGGGGGGCTTATTTTATTCATCAACCAAACAGCCAAACGACCCCGCCACCCACACGTACCCCGAGCTGGGTGCAAAGGTACACACACGCCCACGTAGTCAGTTATTAATTTCATTATTTACTCGACGGTCGTTTTATTTATTCATAAATTTTATCAGCACAAATTAAAAACAAATTAGTCGACAGTAGGTAAATAATAATAAAGTGTAATAAAAATCACAGTCATCAGAGCAGGGGGACTGCTGTCAGCTGGGATTGCGGTCGTGTAGATGGTTGAAGAGGGGCGATGGGAGGGTTGGGGATATGGAGCCATCAATTGATAAGCACTCGCAACTTGATTTGTACAAATCGTATATGGCAAATGATTACAAAATTGTATTCATTTCGTTGATTTACTATTAATTTTATATGTGTATTATTTGTTGTTTCTATTTGTTGCTCTTACACTTTTTACTTTTAATGACAATTTTATTGTTTCTAATGCGTCTTTAATAATAATTGATTCATGATTGCAGCTATTTGATAAACCAAACCCAAATTAAACAAACAAAAAAAAAAACCGAAAAATGAACGCATGTTCAAATGAACTCGATCAACAATGGAACTTTTATAGAATAATTATAGATCTATTGATAAGACATTGAATATATTATATCTTTGTATATTACTCGCTTTGTAAACATTACAATGTTGAAATGAGACAATTAAAATTAGCCAACAAAAAGCAGTAAATCAACTTTTAATGGAACAACATTTAATAACTCCCACGAATAGTTTTGTACAGAAAAGTTAGTTGAATTTCGAAAAAGGATTTCGTCTTAAGTTGAATTATATTTCGATAATTTGTGTAACTATAAATATAAAATATGAATATTATTATATGTTGTCAGCTTACAATATGCTTTTTGCTAAAGTCTGCAATTTATTTTGAAAATTGTGAGCTGTAGCAATTTAAGAATTTAACTACCTTTAATACAGAAACAATTCAAAATGATCCAGGCGTGAATAATTCGAAATGAACAATAATTTGCACAAATGATATTCCTGATTAATTTATAATAACGTTTTTATCAGCAGAGACGAAAACGGAAGGCAAAATGTAAATGAAATCGAGAAGCCAAAACCCAAAACCCAAAACCCAAAATGAAAATGAAAATGGAAACGCAAATACAAGTTTAATCATAATATGCGAACAAATGAATACTCATCAACATTATAATGACAATGCGTAAATAAGTTATATTTTAATAATATATAATGACAGCGAGCCAATGCCAAAAATGTCAACGTTGCACGCGAATTGTGGATGGGGCGAGTGTGTATCTGTGTGTGTATCAGTACTATGTGTGGTGTGTGTATGTGTGTGTGGGAGGGGGGTGGTAAAACTTTTGTGGCCTGGCAGCGAGACAGAAGCGAGAAACCTAATAGAAAATCAAGCGCAAGAAAATGGCGCACGATAAGAAGACGACGCTGAAGAAGAAGAGGAATAATAAGACAAATAATAAAGAAATAGCAGAGCGAGAGAGAGAGAGAGCGAGAGAGAGAGAGCGAGAGAGTGAGAGAGAGAGAGAGAGGGGGAGTGAGAGAAAAACGCCCCGCAGCAAATTAAATGAAAATTTGTTTGTGTGTGGAAAAATCAAGTGAAAATTAATTGAATTGAGTTGAGTGCGGCGGCCGCTGCCCGTTTATAGATTTTTGCGTGCCGATAAAAACACAGGACAAGATGTGGAGAAGGAGAGGCAGCAAAAGCAGCCAAAGATGAAGAAGAACAAGCAGAAGGAGAAGAAGAAGAAGAAGAAGAGTGCAGAGTGTAACGGGCTTGTGTATTTGCCTGTCTTCTTCTTGTCTGTGTGATTTCTTTTTGCCTCCTTTTTCCTTTTTTTTGTTTTTGTTTTTGTTTTTGTTTTGTTTTGCCAATCACAAGACTGAAACTCGCTGCAGCCCAGCAAATGGTCAGCGAGAGCGGCAATTTTCACTCACTCCCCCACACACAGCTCTGTATGTGTGTGTGTGTGTGTGTGCATAATTCATTTAAAAGAAGCAAAAGTCGCAGCTGCGCAGTGTGCAACAGCTAAGGCAGTAAGTGGTGGGTGGATGGGGAAGAGGTCTGCTCTGGTGCCCAGGCTGCTGCATATTTAAGACATTATTACATTATAATCGCATAAAACAATCAATAAAATGTCTGCTGGCAGCGCCAAGCAGAACGCTTACTGTTCTCGCTGGCAGCGCTGCCGATGCCGATGCCGCTGCTGCTGCTGCTGCTGTTGATGTTGCTGCTTTCGCTCAAATTGCCCATAATCATAACGAGCGGTGTGAAACGAACAATTTCCCACTATTCTTTGGCCACGCCTGTGTCAAATAGCGCTGTCTCGCTCTTGCTCACTCGGCTGCACATATCTAGCCGATTGCAATGCGCTGTGCACTCCCTGTCTCGCTCGCGCGCTCTCTCTCTCTCTCTCTCTCTCTGTCTTGGTGCAGAGAAATAAGCAAACACACACACACACACACACACACACACGCACACACACGCACACACACACAGAGTCAAGCACTCAACACACACGCACACACAAATTCACTTTAAATCAATTTTTTTGGCGTTTTTCATTTCATTTTCACGACGTTGTCGTCGTCGTCGTCGTCGTCGTCGTCGTTGTCGTTGGCGTTGTCGTTGTCTGTTGCGCCTCTCTCTTTTGCTCTTCTTCGCTTTGGCGCTTTAGCCCTCTCATTTTAGCATGCGCGCACTGAGCCAGAAAAATACCATTATTGCGCTGCATGTGTGTGAGTGGCGAGAGAGCGGAAGAGCGGGAGAGCGGGAGAGCGCAGCGCCTTGCCGTGTTTTTGTTAAGTGAAACCATTTTTCTTTTTATTGCAACGACGGCATCGCTGCCGCTGCTGCTGCTGCTGCTGTTGCCGTTGCTGTTGCTGTTGCTGTTGCTGCGTTCGCTTTTGCTGTGGCTGCCTTCGTTTTGTTATTTCTCGCTTTGGCGCACATAAATTTTGAACGTTAATGATTTTTGCTTGCAGTCGCGCAACAACAACAACAACACCAGCTGCTCACAAGTGTCGTTGTTGTTGCTGTTGTTGTATTATTGCTGGTGTTTTGCAGGTGTCGCTAGCCATCTCACTTTTTAGCATGGACACCAACCCACCAATGCCAAGCAAAACGACCAAAGCGGCGACATTTCTTTCTGCTGCTGCTGCTGCTGTTGTTATTGTCGTTATTGTTATTGTTGCACACATACATAAATGCATAGCTTGTGTATGCATGCAATTATTAAACAAATAGACACACACACACACCGACACACACACATACATAAGTGGCGCAAAGCGAGCGTCGCAACGCCGCCGTTTGTTGTCAACATCGTCTGCGGTTGCCGCTTTTGCCATTTTCATTTGGACATCAACTTTGAAGCATCGTCGCGCCTCCTTTCTCGCTCTATCGCTCTCTCTCTCTTGCTCTCTCTCTCTCTTTCTCTCACACTCTCTCTCTCTCTCTTTCGCTCACACTCCTCAAAGAGTTTCGCTCGGAAATTTGCTCGCTCGTCGCGTAAATCAGCGCTTCGGAGCTTTGAGCGTAATTTTAATTCGAATCAATTTGTTTGTCGCCGCCGCAGCCGGCGCACAGTGGGTCGCCATCGTTGCCAACGCCGGGTCCTCTGCATCTGCATCTGCATCTGCAACTGCTACTGCAACTGCAACTGCAACAGCATCCAAGACAAAGTCAGAGCTCAAATTCGAATTCGAGTCCTTGTCACCTTTTTTTTGTTATTGTTATTGCTCCCATTGTGTGTGTGTGTGTGTGTTTGTGTGTGTTTGTTTGTGTGTTTAGCTTAAGGTGTAATGCAACAGAGGCTACCCAAAATTTAGCTGCGCATCCCCAACCAGCAGCTGCCGCCCTGCGAATGGATCAACTGCTCAAGCAGCTGGCAGCAGCTGCGCAGGCGCACACTGAAGCCGCCCCATTGATGGGGCTGCCAGGCTTGCCAGTTGCCACACAACATCCACATGCGGCATCTGTGCTGCAGCTGTATGCAGCAGCAGCAGCAGCCGCAGCCGCAGCCGGCTGGGCGCCGTTTCTCAGCCAAAATTCGCATCCAGCATCGAACGCATCCATTTCCAGTTCCAGTTCCAGTTATCGATATGGCGCCTGTGGCAACGCCTCCATTCACATGCTGCGCCACATGGCGCTACTGCAACGCGCCAATGCAGCGACGGCAGCAACGGCAGCGACAGCAGCCGAGCTGCAGGAGGTCAAAGAGCAGCAGCTAAAGGATCTGGAGCTGGAGGCACTAGATCGAACCGAAGAACAGAGGACGCGCCAAACAGAAGCCCACGAGGGTAAATAGATCAATCAATTGTCGTTTATATTCTATATATATATATTTTTTTTTTTTATATATTTTTTATTTTATTATTTTTATATGCAGTATACATTAATAATTGAAATTATTTTATTTCATTGCCATGCAAAACGTCAACTTTTGACACGCATAAGTTTTCATAGAGTCCAATTTAATTACCATTTTTCGTTGCCATCTTCGTCTGCATTTCTCTGATCTATATATATATATATATATTTGCAATTCTCTTTTGTATTACATTCGCAAACGTTTCACTGAATGTGCTGGTTAAGCTTGAATATAAAGATTTGGTATTTGAATTAGATTGGAAATGCAAAGATTCAGAATTAATGCATACAATTCAAGGCCATTGCGAATGCATGCGACTAAATTAATTAAGATTAAATCTTACTTCAACGAATTTCGAGTCAACAACTCAAACTGCCGGCAACGATAACCAATGGCTAAACAGCTCCAAACACACACATAAAGCACAGTATGTATATATATATATATATGTGTGTGTGTGTGTGTGCAAACTCATTAATTTATAGCAAGCATTTTGGCAGCGACGTCGACTGCGACTGCGACGCAACAGCAGCCACAATAACAGCAACAACAACAACAACAAGAGTAACAGTAGCAGCCAAAAGCACAGGCCAAAAACGAAATCAAGTTTTGCTGCTGGCGCCCCGGCGCGCACTTTATTCAATTTACCAATAAAATTTCAATCGCATTGCTCTTTTTAATCAATTCGCTGCGACACGCACAGCAACAACAACAACAACAACAACAGCAACAACAACACGAACAACAACAACACGAACAACGAACATGCATAATTTGTTTTGTTGTTATGCTTTTTGATCAATTTTTAATCAACAACAAATTTTTAGCAAACGCTGGCGCCGCAGCAACTGCATCCAATTGTGACATTGTTGTTGTTGTTGTTGTTGTTGTTACGATTGCCATTATGTGGCTCTTTTACAATGTGTGTGTGTGTGGGTGTGTGTGTGTGTGGGTGTGGCAGAGTGGAAGAATGCATCCATTATTGTTGTTGCTGTTTGATTATGTGCGTAATTAAATTTTGCCCATTTGGTGCGTTTTATTTTGGCCCAGTGCAGAAATTAATTTGTTTACTATCCAGTGTAAATAGGCAGTGAGAGAAAGAGAGAGATAGAGAGAGAGAGAGAGAGGGGAGAGTTCCAGCTCCATTGAAACAATATGCAATTTTGCTTATCCGTAATGCCAAAAACATCGTATAAAAGCGATAAACAAGTGAAAGTTATAAGTTATTTTATATTATATTTTACTATTATATATTACTATATTAAATTATATTTTATTATATTATATTATATTGCATATTATTGCATATATTGTTTTCTATGAATCCTGCCAATCTATACCACTATATAATTCGCTTTAGACAGTCCAAGTTGCCTATGCTGAACTTCTCGATAATGAACTGAATGAATTTGATTTGATTAATATCTGAGGAAAAACTTGCATAAATTTGAATTGTTTTTTAAGAGAGAGACTAGAGTGAGAGAGAGAGAGAGAGAGAAGGCGAGAATGAGGGATAATTGGAGAAATGTAAGAACTCATTAGAAATGCATAAGAGCAGGTGAACAAGTGGTCGAAAATGTCATGCGACTGTTGAGCAAACGAAGCGGAAATAAATGCATCTATTTCCATTTGGGCTGCCATTCAAAATCCAATTGCTATTCGCATTCCCAGTTCCGTTCCGAGTCCTGTCATTAAAGGCTGCCAACTGCACTGCCCATTGCTCATGTGAGCGCTGGCATTGGGCAACGCCCCCGCAACCGAATAGCAGTAGGAGTAGGAGTAGGAGTAGGAGTAGGAGTCGGTGTCGGAGTAGAAGACGGAGTCGGAGAGATGGCTTGAACTACTTTTGAGCCCGGTCTCGAAATTGGCAGAGCTGTGTGGTGGTAAACGGTCGAGCGTTGCCAAGAAATGTTGAAAAACATTTCGTCTTGGACTTGTGCGTCTCATCCTACGACGGCGACGACGACGACGACGACGCCGACGCCGACGACGGGAAATTAGCTGCCATTAGTCATTTTTATTGTTTTCGGTCGCGGCCCCGAAGCAACGGGCAACAAGCGGCAGCAACAACAATAACAATAGCTGAGGAAAAACATGGTACGGCCCAAATTGGGCAACAAACAATTTGTATTAACAATTTTTCCATTTGGCCCGAGGTCCGAAGTGAAATGTCTTAATTATTTTGGGAGCTAACCGCCTCCTGCCCTACCAAACAGTCAAACAACCGACCAACAACCGACAATCCGACAACCCAACAAACATACAATTTTCGTTTACGACATTTTAATTAAGTTTTTCGTTTTGGGTTTTCCCTCAGCCCCTTTGACTTTGACCCCCACTCTTTGCCTATTTTCCTCTCTCTTTCGCTCTCTCTCTCTCCCTCACTCTCTCTCGCTCTCTCTCTCTCTGTCTCTCTTGTGGAAATTGAGCAAATTAATAAGAACGCCATTGGCACGCCCCGAAAACGCTTCAGTTCCAGGTCGACTAGCTCGAGTAGCTCGAGTATCTCGAATAGGAGCCATATTCCCAATCTAAAGTTCTATTTACTGCTGCTGCTGCTGTTGTTGTGGCTTCTGCTGCTGTTACAACTGCTGCTGCTGCTGCTGCTGCTGCTGCTGATCATCATCAGTGATCATCAGTGATGAATGAATTGAGCCGATCTCCTACTGCTCATTAGCCTCGCCGACCGCGAGCGCGTCGAGTAATTGCCATCATTTCTATGGGGCCAGCCTATAGACCGTAGATTAATTGTCTGAATGTACGTAGTGAAGTAGTAAAGTGAACTGAAGAGCCTCGCAGCGAGTTGCGCTCAGATGAGATTTAGTCAATTGGATGATGATGTTTCCAGAATCTAATAAGCATGGGAACTGTGTAAGGCACTCAACGAAACTTCAATACGCTTACAAATTGTTCAGATTGTATTCTGATCTCTAAAGAATACATCCTTAAATGTCTTAAGACGGCAAACTGTTCTTCGGATTCATCTGTATGCATTCATTCACTTTCATTTATTCCTCTTCGTGCCGTATCCATAAACGATGGAAAATCCTGCCACATTTTTGTGGAATTTCCTTCGGCTGGATTATAAATTTACCCAAGGTACATGCGCTCGTTAAGCAACCCTTTTGCCCCTCAAAGTGCAGGGTGCTCATTAGAAATACAAAAAAAAGAAATGAAAATAAATAGATAAAAAAAAACAGAAGAAAACAAGACTGGAAGCCACACGGAGCCATCAACATCAGCAGCTAATGCGCATCTGTCGATCTGGTCGACTGTTCGGCTGGTCCGATTTCCACAGATTTTCCCCCATAATTAATAAGCCGCTTCGCATCAGACGTCATTCGTCTCGTTGGCTAATTGGTCGATCGTCAGATTCGTAGCAGTTCCCCAAGAGACGAGACGAGGCGCTCCAAATGAGCTTTTGACGAGCGTTTTGCCTCGGGAAATGATAATTATTTAAGTGACTCTCATTTAGCTGCGTGCCTCTGCCAAAAACAACTGAGATACTTAAAAAAAAAAAAATATATATAAAACCCAAAAACTCAAAAACAACGGTTAACAGCTGCAACAGTGAAGCAAGCCATTGCTGCCAAGAATTTGCAGTCGTCCCCCGCCATTCCTTGCCTCTCCACGACCCACGCCCTGACTTTGCCTCGCCAAATGATTTGCATAATTTACGAGGGCGACAACCCTTGCTAGGCCCATAAATTCACTCAATTTGCTGCTCTTGGCTGCTAGCCAGCTCTTCAAATTATACGACTGCCCAAAGCAAATGGAATATGCATTTTGGCAGTGAGCAACAGCAACACCAGTAACCCAAAACCCACCCCCAGCAAACCCTTTTCGCTTTAAAAAAAAAAAACCAACACCCGTCGAGGGCATTTGTAGGCGTGTGGAGCTATTCAGCTAATAAAAATCAAAAGGCGTTTTGTTCGCTAAACTTAAATTGAAAACACTTCAGCAAAGCAACAAACAACAACAACAACAACAAAAGGATAAACACTTCAAGGGGCGGATTTGGCTTAGGTGAAATAAAGCCCAAAAAAGAAAAACCACCTAACGAACCCCATCTAGTCTCTGTCTCTCTCTGTGTGTGTGTGTGTTGCCGTTTAGCACAAAGATGGCGGCTGTAGATAATGAAATTTGCCGAAATAAAAGACAAAAAAAAAGAAGAAGCGAAGAGTAATAACAACAAGCACAAATTGTTTGGGGGGTTGTGGGTAACTGGGGGGCTTGGGATGGGCGCTTTTGCATTTTTTTGGTGTTCAGCTACTTACCGTTGTTGAACTTGTTGTTGCCGCTGCTCTTGTTGTTGGCCATTTACAGTTTTGAGGCGTAATTTTTTTGTGTGTCTTAAACCGCCACGCCCTCCCCCCCAAAAAAAAAACGCCCCTAAACAAATGGCCAATAAGTTGGCAGCCAAATTGGCGAGGCCATTTCAGATTAGCCGTTTAGAAGTGCCATTAAGCAGAAGGATTGCAAATGAATTCACTGGCTCTTACCCTGTCAACCGCCCACACCTCTCCCGCTCCCGCTCTCGCTCCCCTCCTCTCTCCCCCTCAACACAAATTGTATCCCCCCTGTTTGCTGTCATTTTCTTGTTTCTTTATAATTTGCACTGTGCATGGAAGTGGAAATTTGTATTTGAAGTGGAGCTTGAAGCTTGCGGCTTACCTCCCGCATCGGACTACTTGAGCTGATCTATCCGCCACTCTTTGTTCTTCAACTCATGCTGCATATATGATATAAACTGAATAGATAATAACATGCATATTGGCCAAATTTACTGCTGCTGCGCATATCTATTTAACTCGCTCCTCAACCGATTGTTGCACACGGATGCACAGAAAAAACGAACCAGAAGAAAAGAAAAAGAATCTTTCAATGTATAATACAAATTTAGAAACAGCTTAGCTTTAAGGATATTTA